GGATGTGAGGAATTTTATTCATTTTTTGAGATCAATTTGTAAAATGTAGTTTTTAAATGCCTGTTAGAATTCATCTATATTCACCCCCATGCAGAATGCAAAATCTGATTTTTAGTAGTCCCACAGAGAGAGGGAAAGTGGAATCTGAACATCTGTGATATTTGCCTCTGCTGTTTCTGAGAAGTCTTCAGCTTTGCATGGGAAAGGGCCCAGGCTCAGAAAATACCTAATGAAATGAATCTTTGAGTGGAAGTGATACAGCAACCATCCTATTCTGAAATCATGCTAAGCCACCCATCTTGTGCTTGGAGTTTCTGTCTTTCAGTAGGGCTACAAAAGAAGACTTCAAAAGTTTGGGTTCTCATTTACATTAAATACAGCTTTTCATGTATTTATTGTATATTGTATATTGTATTGTATGCACGTATTGACTTAGTTGCCGTTTGTTAGCTCAGGTAATAGTACAAACTTCAAATATGTAGAAAGGAAGTGAAATGTTCCAAACTTTTCTTCACATCTGGGTGGGAGGAGAAGAGGGGAGCATTCAAGCCTAAAGCTTGTTTCAATTTATTCAAGTCACGCTAAACTGTGTGTTGAAACTTTCCAAGAATTGAGTAAGATGAGCCAGTGATGTGATTAAGTATTCAGGTAGCTTCATACAATACTCTTGTTCTCACAGGAGCCGAATGACCTTTCTGAAGCTAAGTATGTTTGATCTATACACATCCAAAGTTGCTTTATGGATATGGAATTCATTATTACACATATGGAAGCACATTCACAATAGATGGTTCTGGTGATTTGTACAATCATTATTAAAAATATGCAGTTGGGTATATTAGTCCATAAAGAAAGGAGGAGGAAATATTCTATTTCATATTAAGTAATAATAGGTATTCATAGTTGTACTTGGAAAAAAATGGATGGGTTCCTCTTACCCAAATATGTTCATACAAATCTGTTTGACTCACAAAACCTGAAATAGTAATTCCAAAGGCCATTTACCCAATGTTAGTGGCTTAATGCAGCAGGCAATGGATCAGCCAAAAACAAAATCAGAATTAACAAATAGCACTGAAAATATAAATCTGATTTGATTAATACTGCTAGATATTTAGGTGAAATAAGGTCACACCACAAGTATGCAAGAATTAAAGCATTTAAGGTCAATTAAATTAAGAAAGCCTTTCTAGTGGGATCAGCCAAAGTCTGTTTTCCTGAGAATGCAAATAATGACAAGAAAGGATGACAAAAGTACTATATTAATTTCAGCTTTAATGAGAGGTGAAATGTAGAAAAAAATATACATTATTAGAGCTTTAGAGAAGGAACGAAATAAGTGATGGAAAGAGATTTCTCCTAATGGGCAATAATGCTCAGAAATCCCAGTTAGGAAATAGTTCTGCTGGTGATAGTGGTTGGATTAAAACCATCAATTCAGACTTTTGGCAGAAGTAAACCTTTGTACACAGGAAAGAAGGGACTTGCCTGTTGAATTGTGCTCTGGAATATGAAGCCAAAGAGTGTTTTGTCCATGAAGTCAAACAGATTACTGTTTAACTTCTCAGTGAAGGAACTAATAAAACTATGGTTGTGGGGTTTTCATTTATTTATTCAGTTTTACTGAGTATAAGAAAAGAGATGTGATAGTCCACATTATAGGAAACTGAGCTGAAGTGGACTGTCAGCCCTTCGAGGTAGTCCAGACTGGAAACCAAAACCATGAGTACTAATACTACCTTTTTTGTAAGGTTATAGTAAAAGAAACTTGCAAGTCTGAAAGTGCTTCCCTCCTCCCCTGCCTTTACTTTCCAGAGAACTAGAGACACTTTCTCCACCCCATCGCTCCTTTGGATTCTTACCAGACCGTTGTCTAAGCTGTGGCTCTTCCTCCTGCCTCCCAAGGTCCTTCTCACAGCCCATTACATAGACACACCAACATAAAATAAATCTAAGGAGGTTCTCCACTATGTGAAATGTATTAGCCTACTGCCTGCAATTTTTGTCCTTTGATATAGAATTTTCCTCATATTTTGACATTTTTGTTGGCAGTAGCCTTAAGGGGAAAGAATATAAGTTGCGTGTGCTACTCTTAACAATTTCTAGATTCGATTGTTTTAAAATGTCTGTAGGCAAAAATGTCTTTTTTTTTTAAGGTCAGCATCTGGCAAAATCTGTAAATTCAACTGTTCAGAAATGTCTGCAGCTGCAAAGTTATTGTATTACCCTGCAATCAATTACTTGGGATATTTTGCCACTGTCCTTCCTGTTCTTTAAAGTAGAGCTAAGGGATCAGATAGACAGACAGGCAAACAGACAGACTTATATCCTATCTTTCCTCCAGTAGTTCAAAGATTATTCCCACCTCCAAGTTTATCTCATGACAGCCCTGTGGGGTAGGTTCAGCTGATTGATGGTGGTTAGCCAGTGTCACCCTGTGAGCTCATAGCTGAAGGTGGGTTTCTCTAGTCCAACATCTTAACTGCTAGACTACATGGGCTGCTTTTCTTAAAAACTGCCTCAAGGCTACTTTGTGTGGTAACCTGAACAGTCAGGTGTTCCACAATACCCATTCCATTTATGATAGCAAACACTTTAAATCCGTGTTTTTCAAACTTGGCAACTTTCAGATGTGTGGACTTCAACTCCCAGAATCCCCCAGCC